CCCCCCCCCTTTTTTTTTTTTTTTTTGGGGGGGGGGGGGGGGGGGAAGGGGAGGAAAAAAAGGGGACAGCCTCACTGATCTTTTTTTCTTTTTTTTTCTTCAGCAAAACAACCGGCTAAACATCGATGCTGGTTGAGAGATCATACGCAATAGTTGGCACGACGGACGAAATAAACTTCAGAAACAAAAACAAAGCCATATGCGTGGGGAAGATGAATTGCTCCTTTTCAACGCCGTCAGCCTGGTCACTTTCAAACCGGCCCTTCATGTGGTGTACTAATCGCTTCATGGTTTCTGCATGGCGACACGGGTGAATACTGATGCATGCCATGTTGAGAAACGGGTGCGGATCGATAGAGACTGTCTTTTCTCGATTTGAAGCGTACACATCCTGCATCATTTCCTCTTTTGTGAGAAGCGTCACGTGGTCTTCGGCGTAACCAATAAGAAAGATGCGCGGTGTTTGGTAGTATTGGTCATAAACCATGTACACATCGTACAATCGACATCTTCGCTCTTCCGTGTCCTCTGCCTGGTCTTCATCCTCATCATCTTCATCGCCATCATCATCGTCCCAATTAATAACCTTTTCCGGTGCCGATGTGACGGTCTTGCTGGGCTTATGGTCAGCATGCGTCGTCACCCACCCGCCCTCACCGTCAACATCGTTGTCTTCCGTGTGCTCAATATCTGGCGCGCGTTCGTAGCATGGCGCCCCGCGGTACACCAGGTATTTTTTATTGGGCGGTAAAAAGGGCTGGATCTTCTCTGGGCCTTCTGCCCATGCCCATACCGGCATTTTTTGGACCAGCTCGTCTCCTGCCTCAACAAACTCCAACGGTGTCAGCGTACCAGTGGCTTGAAAGTTTGTCACCGTCTTCACTCCTTGCACATGGTTATATAACTTTTTGAAGTTTTCGTAAAAACTCCGCTTGATCATCCCGATACGAAACAACAACGACAATAAAGAAGAGTCTTACGCTCCTATTTATTATCGTGTTGGTAATGATAATAATAATAATAATAATAAATAGAAATCACAAAGAAACGAAAGAAAAACGGGAGAAATCCAAGATGGCCCAAAATCAAAGACAAAAAAACACAGGGCACAAAGGAAAAGGGATATATATATATATATATGTATAGAACATGGCGCGCTTATGCACACATGCATTTCTGTATGCGCGTATATGTGTGTGAGAATGCCTCTGAATGTGAAAAAAAAAGAGACTTCATGCCACTATCATCGCCTCCCCATCCAGCCATAAAGAGAATGGAACGTAACACGAGTTTGCATCTCTTCAGGTTAACTGCAGAGGCTTCGGCGCGTCTTGACTTCCTCCTATCAACACAGCCGTTGAGGTTTGCACGAGCTCACGTGGCAGAGACGACCTCCGCAGTGACACCGCAATCCGTTGACGAAGATGAGGTGAAGTGGTTTTACTGGCAGCCTGTTCCAACAGCGGAGTTGCCACCTCCCCATTTCGAAGTAGACGGTGAATGCTAGTTGAACCGAATAGTAGCGTGAGCGATACTTCATCCCAGCGACGCGCGCTAGACGCCGCGTGGCGCATTAACATCATCATGACCTCATCATTCCCATATCCAAGTGATTGAAGCCCATTAATAAGTACAGCTGTATCCAATGGGGTGAGAAACATATGAACCTGCACGAGTCGATCACCTACATGCGCCAACACTTGAGGAATTCGCAGTGATAACTTTGCCTTGGCCGACACTATTTGCACCAAAGGAGAAGCGTCCATCTCATTCCACTGTTCGCTGCTGATTGCCAGAACGAAACGCTTGACACTACGGTGGTATGTAAAACGTATGGCGGCAAGGCTGTTTAGCATCGCCCCAATACTCGTCGCCGACAACTTCACCACCATGTTGCTATCCACTAGGTAGTCCAAACATTCCTTTAATAGTTTGTCCTGCTTCAATACCTTCTCTTCAAAGACACCAAAAAAGTATTTGAGATCATCAACTCGAGTTGCCTTTAAGATGGCTACGTAATCCTTAGCTGCCTTTATTAACGCCTCTGTGTCCGCTGCTCGTGTTTCCACCATGCGATTAATGATATTCCATCCCTCCTGCTGCATCTCCGTCAATGGTGCGATAAAATTAGAAGGGTCGTTCTTGTTCATCCACTCCGTTGGCGGCAGCGTGGCCTCACCCTTAAGACCGATTTTTCCTACCTCCAACAGAAACATGTGCACCGCAGGGTACTTATCCAGTATGTCCTCGCCGAGCGCCAGACATACCGTATCGGCGGTTTCACTACTATTCACCGAGGGTGACGCTGACGCACACTTGGAGTCAAGGTAACGCGCCACCTTTTCAAAAAACACAGAATCATTGTAGCCGAGCAGGTATAAACTCTCGGTCGCCGCCAAGACGCACTTCACCTCCATACCATCTGCGAATCCCCTCTGCATGCTCTCAACGCAAAACTTAAGAAAATTATCCATATCTTCCTTCTCCAGCTCCTGTTCCACCTGTTCCTCCAAAGAATTAGCCTCAGGGTTCTGCACGAGGCCTCTCACAAAGCACTTTAATGCAGCACATAACTGAATCATGGGAATTCCAGAGGCTGTTTTGGCAAATTCGTTGCGAAGATGTTGATACACACGTTTATCCTTCATGTTATAATCACCCAAAATCAACAGAAAACGAAACGCCTGCAAGGTCGGAAAGTGAATGCCTTGCTCTGCGGCCTCTCGTATTATAGACAGACCACATTGCCGAGTTTCTTCCATATCAACATGGAGGAGATTCGGAATAATTGAAAAGGGTGGATTTTCATCGGCTACAATGTCTTCTAACCTCTCTGTGATGTATTTCACGCACAACTTGACTGTGATTATATAATCAGTCGGCTTTTCATGATCCGATGGGAGCAGACCATCCAAGGCAAGAAATCGTGAAATGAAGGTCTGAATGTTGTCCACAGACAACTCATCCTTGAGGCCCCCTTCCACCACAGGTAACCCCAACAGCTCCTTCATTTCTACACTTAGAAACGCCACCATTTCAGTTATTTCTCGAAGGAGTTCAGGGCGCAACTGACGTGGGATTGCCTTTAGGGATCTACACAACGCTGTTACGGTTTCCTGGTCCAGTTCCCTCCCTTCTACCACTCGCTCTGCCAGACACTTTACAGCATCTGGGCTAATTGCATCCGTCTCCTGCTGACAAATAAAGCTGAAAAGCTGCACAGCACTGAACAAATCGCCTTCCTCAGCAAAACGAATAGCCTCTTCTTGCAACGCGATTGCCAGGACCCTGTGTCTGAACTGAACCTTGTTGAAACAGGCACACACCTGGCCAATGGCTGCTGGTGTCAAAACATCAGCGAGCGTGGCAACCCGCTCCGCTGCTGCCTGGAGGCAGGGTGAGCGACCCAGCTCCGGCAGCGAAGTGAGTATAACAAGTAGCACAGGAAGCTCCACCTGGGACGCGGTGCGTATCGTGGCGTTCACAAGCTCCTCTGTTGCCACTGCAAGTGACGTCGGATGGCGGCCCCATCGACTTGCATGGGCGAGGGCGACACGATAGTCATGCAGATCCCATTTTTTACCCTGGAGACCTGCCAAGCACAACTGGACCGCCTGCTCCCAAATAACGTCATCGCATCCCTTTTTTGGGATGGACTGCAGCAACATGGCTGCCCGTCTGCCGTGCGTGGGCACAGCAGGGTCGATGGGAACTGACTCCATCACACTGGCGATGATGTCGGGATCTTTGCGGCAGAAGCGCTTGAACGGTGTGGCGATGACTTTGGCCCCTTTGCGGTCAACGTAGGCCGACATGTCGAGGAGGGCGGCCATTGTGCGCCGCACATCATCGTTGTTGCTAAATATCGGCTTTCCGCACCGTTCGATCAACCAGCTGAGTTTGGCTGGGAGCATATGACCTACACACCAGCGAATCATTGCATCAATCAAAACACGAAAAAAAGAATGAGAGAAAAAGAGGAGGATAAAAAGCAAACAAGAGTGACTTCTCCTCCTCCACCTCCTCCGACAAGGAAGCGCAAGGAGAGACATGCATACACACACAGGCGTACTCGTTGCGCCAGGTGAAGGGTATGACTTTTTCCCCCTCCTTTTGGTTGTGTGTCGTTCTCCCATTTTGCATTCAACTTGTACATGGAGCGGTGCTTGCTTCAACACTACGGAAGAAGTAGCTCCAAAACATCCTTGAGGGCAACGTTCTGCCCCATACGCTTCGCTTGCTGGAGGACGGCGTCCCTCAGCGCGGCGTTGCCACGGGCAATTCCGATGTTAACCCGTGCCACATCCACTACATCCGAGCACTTCGCCTCACCACCCACGCGGTAGGCGTGCTCGTAATAAAACAACGCGTGTTGGTGGTCGTGGATGAGGGAATACAGCTCGCCGAGTAGAAGCAGACAGATGGAGGCCCCGCTTTTGTCACCACCAAGACTACATTTTTCTAAGCACTGTTCCAAGCTTGTCTGTGCGGCGCGCATGTTGCCCAGGCGTAGATACACGAGCCCCTGGTTACCCAATGCAATCGTCTCCAGCAACGTGTTCTCACACGCACGCGCATTCACCAAGGCATCCTCAAGCGCCGGCTCAGCAAAGTTGAGTTCTCCGAGTGCGGCGTAGCTGACACCCATGTTAATCTCCGCCACTGCGCGTGAGTAGCATCCGCCAAGGGCTTCCTGTCGCTTGTGGTGAAGCAGCGACATCTTAAACTCCCGCAGCCGATAGTAACAGACGCCCAGAATGTTGTGACAGAACGCCAGGCCTCGCACATCACCGATAGACTCAAATGCTGCAAGCGCCTTAGCGTAGAATGACCGCGCGAGCTCGACATTGCCACTATTGTAGTGAAGCGCGGCGACGGTACAGAGCAGATGCGCCGCTTCCACTGTGTTGCCAGCGCGCATCGCCGACTTCGCCCGCGACATGGCATCCCGCATGACTTTCAGCTGCGCCACTCCTTCGTCGCTGCTGCTGCTGCTGCTGCTGCCCCCTGGGCGCGGCTCTACCCAATGCATCGGCACCGACTCGGCACCCTTTAGCAGCGTCGCCACCCGCCGCGCGAGGGGGAGGTGCGCGGGCGGGTCCTCGAGCGGCGGCGTGTGGAACTCCTCCGGCGTGACGAAGCGCAGCGGGACATCGAGGGCGCTCTCGCGGGCGTGGATAATTTTTACCGTCATCTGCAGCACCTCATCGCCGGTGTGCTGCCGCACGAACGGCAACTCTGGTATCAATTCCGAGAGCGGCCCGTCGCGGTCGGTGAAGCGATGTCCCCGGTTCAGTGCGATGTAGCGCTCCACCGCGCGCAGATCGGTTGTGCTCAGGAGGCTATGCGACGCCGATGGGAGGATGGCATACTTCTTCCGCGTGCTCGACAGAATCGTCTTCTCCCCCTCTTCCTGCTGCTGCTGCTGCTGTTGACGCTCCTGCCCCCCGTCCATGGTGTGCATCTCTGCTCTCGTGAGGGAACGTGTACAGATATATGTGGGACGCCTCTACACCTCTATCCTGTCTCTGGTGTTGTTTTTCACTCTTTCGGTTTGTTACTGTTGTTCTTCTTGTCCTCTTTCTGTTTCGTCTTGTGCACTTTAATGAAGCATGAAAGCGAGCAGAAAAAGAGCGAACGAACGAAAGAAGAATACCACAAACAGAAGCTGGATCATCACGGGAAATAAATACACCCACAGTCTCACTCGTTCTCCTCATACACACGATCACAAACACACACGCAGAGAGAGATGCGCAGACGCACGCAGCCTCCGATGTGTGCCCACCGCCGCGCCCAGCAGTATAGCCGCTTCAGCGGGGTGTCTGCTTGGCTTTTTTCCCTTTCGTTTGCACTTTTCTGTTTTGTTTTCTTTACCCTCTGTCTTTTTTTCTCTTATCCGCTTTTTCCTCTCCCCTCCCTCTTGCGAGTGTGGAATATGCTTCGTGCCATATCTCGCCGCCGCAAGAAACAGGGGGCATGGGGCAGATGTGGATACCGCTGTCTGTGCTGGCACAGACACGCACAGAGTAGCAGTAGAGGTGCAAAAAAGGCGGCCATACCATCCTTTTCAAAATGGCAGATACACAAACACACACGCACACACACATATATATATATATATATATGCACGGATGCAAGTGCACACGGAGAGACGCATATGAAGAAACATACAACACGCCCATCCTTTTTCGTTTCTTCTCCCGCCCTCCGTGTTTCCTTCTTGTTTCTTCAGGCGCCTTAAAAGAGCTCCGGGGAGCCTCTCACTACGGTGTCCTCCTCGCAGCGCAAGATCTCCGCCCGAAGTGCCTTGCGCAGCTCCAAGAACCAGTGGTGGAACTCCTTCGTCTTTCCGGCAATGCGGTACGGCACTATTTTGGTGTAACCTACGACGGTGGGGAGCAGGTGAATACCCACCTCGAGGACCTTCTTGTCGTCCTGCGTATACGTGCCGTAAAGAAGCCCACCCCCACCGCCCTCGAAGCGCGTTGACAGCGTTTTCTCCTGTGAGCGGATGCGCAGGACGATATTCTCGCGCGACCCTGCGACAGTGAAGCCGGTGCTTAGGTAGGCCTTCAGCGAGTTGATCTCGGTTACATCGAAGAACTGATCCAGGCGGCGGAGCCGTTGCGTGAGGGGGTGATTCTTGAACGCGTCGTACTGAGAACACATATTGACGAACTGCTCGAATGTCAGCGTATATTTACCGGTGTTCTGCGGATCAATGGCTTGGAAAAAGGCATGTATTTCCGACTTGGTGCAGTTGAGTTTCAGTTTCTCTAAACTCTCTGGCGTAATGAGCCCAGTGTGTTTGACGTCGATGGAGTCAAAGGCGCGACGCACCTCCTCCAGGTACTCTTTTTCTAGATCATAATGGAACAGATTTGCCATGCGGCTGATGTTGTATTTTTTACTCACGTCCTGGTTTTTGGTGCAGCCAATGACAAACTCTTCTTCTGAGATGCGGCCACTTTTGTCCAGCGCGAAGTTGGACATAAACTGCTGCACCTCCTTCTCCGACACTGCCTCGTTGTTTTTCAGCTTGATCAACGCATCGCGCACTTCTTCAAAGTTGAGGAATCCGCTACCATCTACATTGCACGATACAAAGGCGCGGTGTATCTCGTCTAGCCCCTCCCTCGACGGCGCTGTTGTGTCCTCAAACCCACCACTGGGTGTTAAGACGCGTTGGATGAAGACACCAGACTTGGGACTCTGTGGTGTGGACTCGACACACAGCTGCACTTCAGGGAAAAGCGCCGGATCAAGGTCCAGCTGAAACCATGGGTGCACAATGACATCGTCTGTGGTGTAGCGCAACCCCGGATCTACCTCCAGGAGGTGCGCGATAAGGTCACTGGCGCCGTCAGAGAGGTAGCGGTTGTGCTTGTTGTACTGGCAGGTGAGGATGCGCCGCCGCGTCTGTACGTCGGAGCGGTCCGTGAAGGGGAGGTAGCCACAGAGCATGAAGAAGAGAATGGCCCCGCAGCTCCACATGTCGCACGCGCTACCTTCGTATCCCTGCCCGCGCAGCACCTCCGGTGCCTGGTAGTCAATGCTCCCTGCCAGCGAGTGGAAGAGGACGCGGTTTTCGTCCTTGACGCGCCCCTCCCTCGTGTAACGCGAGAGTCCCCAGTCGCACACCTTCAACTCATTGCCCTTGCCTAAGAGAAGGTTCTCCGCCTTTAGGTCGCGGTGAACAATATTGAGTCCATGACAGTAGTGCACGGCACATATAAGTTGCTGAAAATACATGCGTGCAGTTCGTTCGTCGAAGCGTTCCGAATTCACAATTTTGTCAAAGAGCTCGCCGTTGGGGGCCAACTCCATAACAAGGTTATACGCGCTAGACGACTCGAAGGCATCGAGCAATTTCACCACGTGTGGGTGCTTGATCTTCCGCATCACCTCGATCTCCCGCTCCACATAGGAGAGTATATTCTGCAGCTCCACCATTCTCTTCCCAATGCTTTTCACAGCGACGTTGATCTTGCGTTTCCTATCGTATCCCATATACACCTTGCCAAAGCCCCCGGACCCTAGGACCTGCTTGAGCTCTACGGTGTCGCCAATGAGTGTCGGGGCGGACTCAAACACCATTTATGTTTAGTATTATTCAGCTATGATAAATAAGAATAGACGCTAAAAAAACAACAACTAGACTACAAAACACTGCACAGCGCACAGATAAAAAAAAAATACGTAGATGAATAGAAGGAACGAGAAAATAGGAAAAAAAACTAATATATCTATATATATATATATATCTGGGTGTGTGTGTGCGTAGTGACGAAGTGCGGCCAAAACAACAACAATTAATCACAATCAGCAGCACATGCCCCGTGCAGCAGCGTGTGCATGTCGCTCTCGTGACGAAAGCGTCTGTTCGGCAGAGGCCATACGGCGTCTCTCGCCCAGCCCCCCCTTTTTTTTCTTCTTCTTCTCGTCCTTCTATGCAATACCATTTCCCTGCGATTTACTCATACGCAGAGAACTCTGAAGGCAAAAAACAATAACAACAACAATTCTGTCCCATTCACACGTGTTTTAATCGCTTGGGGGCGCCTCCAGCTTCCGACGCCGGGACGCCGGCTCCGCCACCTCGCTGCTCGGCTTCTCCCACTCCCTCTTTACCGACTGCAGAAGGTTCCGCAGCCGCCGCTCAAAGTAGGCGTCGTTCCTCGACTGGCACCACACGTCGAAGCGGTTCTCCGGCATCCCCTTGATGACTTCACCGGTGTTCTGCATGCCGAAACCGGCGTCGTATGCCATGAGGAAGAGCTGGCGGTCAAATTCAGGAGTGCCACGCACCTTGAACGTGAGCTCCGACTCCGGGTGGTCGCAGCTCTCAACCTTCCACTTGGCGGCACGCAGTTCGGCCTCCCTCTCCCTTCGCTTGTCCTGCGACTTTTTGATACGCTGCTCAATGCGAACAAAACCCTTGATACACTGCGCTCCACGCTCAAGGAGGGTCGTCACGTAATCTCGCACTTCCCCTACTGTCTTCCCAGTGCCGACGGCTGCTGCAAGTGCGGGGTAATCGGTGACGTCGTGTGCGCCGCTGGTGAGGGCGGCGATGAGGCGACGATACTCCTGAAAGCTCCAATTGGCAAACCCTTCGTTAAGGAGCCGCTCACGTTCTTCCTGCTCCACCGCTGTCAGCGTCTCATCCTCTTCCTCATTTGGATCCTTCTTCTGCTCCTCTTTATCTTTATCCTGCTGCGGCTGCTCATTGTCGGCATTTCCCGAGGACTCGTACTTACGCTTCCAGTTCTGCACCATCAACGCGACCTCCGTTGTGTGGAGTTCCTGCAGCCGCTTGGCATTGTACAGCTGATACGGCGGGAAATTTGGGCGTTTGGGGAGCCGCAGCGGAGGTGCCTTGACGGCGCGACTCTGCATGCGCTCGACTTCTTCCTCTGTATATTTCTGTATTGCCTCCCGCACGCGGTGCCCGCGACCGAGTTTCTCACCAACGGTAAGGTACTCCGTGATCATCTCCGTCGGCACCACTGTCTGTGCATCCCGGGCGGCGAACTGGCACTTATACGGCAAGTTGTCTTTTGCCTCAATGGCGCCGCTGGTGGAGCGGAAGAAAACGAGCGCCTCGGTGAGGTTGGGGTGCAGCACAACTTTTGTCACCTCGCCGTGCTGCGAGCACTGCCGGTGCAGCTCATCCTGCGCGACCGGAGTGGCGAGTGTGATGTGCACAATACGCGACTCTACGCCGGCCTTGAAGCTAACGCCCTCGAAGTCGTACACATTCGCCTCCTCCGCGCCGAGCTGGAAACTCGCAAGGGACATTTGTACCTGCTCCTTCACGGCGTTTGTGAGCTGCCGCGACTTCTCCTCTCCTTCGAAGAGCCGATCAATGTCGGCCTCCGTGACATCCTCGTCCTTCGCCTTGAAGATCTCCTCTGCGCCGAACTTGATCATGGAGAGCAGCTCCTCCTTCGACACATTCTTCCCGCCGCGCCCCTGCATGCGTCCGTGCTGCACCACCATCGCGTCGAGGTAGAGCTTTTTGAGCGCGCGGCGGTAAATCTTCTCCTCCACTGTACCATCTGTCACGAAGCGATACACACGCACCTCTCGCTTCTGACCAATGCGGTGGGCGCGGTCCTGTGCCTGCAGGTCCATCTGTGGGTTCCAGTCGGAGTCGTAAATGACAACGTGGTTTGCAGCCTGCAGGTTGATGCCAAGACCGCCCGCCCTGGTGGAGAGGAGGAACAGGAAATAGTCGCTGTTGGGAGAGTTAAATGCCGCCATTTGGGCGTCACGGTCGTATCCGCTTGTGTTTCCATCGATGCGGCACACCTTAAATCCACGCATCCCGCAATAATCTTCCAATATATCCAGCATTGACGTGAACTGCGAGAAGATGAGGACCTTGTGCTTTTCTGCCTTATCGTGGAGAAGTCGGTGAAGTAACTTATCGAGGATGATCATCTTCCCACTATGCTTCACGATACGTTCATCTGTAATAAATGGTGGCCCTTCTTCTCCGCCATCCATCATGTATGGGTGATTAATTACCTTGCGTAAGTTCATCATAATGTTCGTCAGCGAGGACACACTTCCACCAGAAGCCTTATTAAGCACCTCGGCATCCTTGGCTAGCACGTGCATGTACCACTTTCGCTGCGTCTTGGTCAGCTTGCATGCGACGTAGATCTCCTTCTTGGGAGGGATGCCGGTGCTCACCTCTGACTTGAGGCGACGAATCATGAGAGGGGCGAGAATCTTGTGCATGTTAGACATGGCGTTGCTGTCCTGATGCCCGCTTGCTGTGTCAAACCATGCGTCAAAGGATTCTGAGTCGTCGAAGAGACGTGGAACGAGGAAGTGCAGCAACGCCCACAGCTCCTTGAGGTTGTTCTGCAGTGGTGTACCGGTGATGATGAGACGGTGGTTCGTGACGAGGGAGTCAAGTGCGGTATGGGCGCGGCTCTCCTCGTTCTTGAGCTTGTGCGCTTCATCCACAATAAGATACTGCCAGTGGATGCGCTTGAACGTTGGTAGCTCCTCTAGCACCATCTCAAACGTGGTCACAATGACGTCATACTTAATTTTCTCGTATGGCTGCAAGTGGGACTTAATGAGCTGGGGCCGAATTTCGCTGGGGCCATGGAACTTGAAGGCGCTGAGTGCCGGACACCACTGCTTGAGCTCGCGGTACCAGTTGCCCATCACAGACTTGGGGCACACAACGAGATGTGGCCCTGGGAGACCGTGTGTGAACTTGAGGTACGCCAGAGTTGCGATGGTCTGTAGCGTCTTGCCAAGGCCCATCTCGTCGGCGAGGATGCCGTTGATGCAGCAAGAGAAGAGGCCGAGCAGCCAGTTGACGCCCTCGATTTGGTACGGCCGCAGCTTGCCGCGAATGTACGACGGCGTCTCTGTGAGGTGAAGCATGTCAAACCCCACAGAATCCCCGCCGTTTTCCCCTGCTTCCTTGTGGCGGCGGCGCAGTCGACTTGTTTTGCCACCGCCACCGCCACCGCCGCTGCTGCCGGTCCACTCGCGCACGCCCGTCCAGTACTCCGTCTCTGTAAGCAGCCGATCGAAGGCAGACAGCTGCCGGTGCTGCGGTGACGCGTGGAGTGCCTGAATGATAGACTCCCGCTCACGGTAAATCTCTGCGTGGCGCGTGCGCTGCTCTGCCGCCACGCGGGCGCCCTGTACGGGATCGAATGACGGTGGGACATACCCGTCGTACTCTTCGACTTCACTCTTGGCATTGGGGTCAAGCCCGGCCCGCACGCAGCCGAGCAGAATCTGCTCGTACAGCTCCGCCGCGGCAAGGTCGCACATGCGTCGGTCCAGCTCGCTCGCGGTGTGCAGGTCCTGTCGCTGCCGCACGCCGGGACTCACACACATCGCCGACATTAGGTAGACCTGCACACACACACACACGGCCATGACAGAGAGTGAAAGAAGATAATGTAGAAGAGGATACAAAGAGGCACAGGCACAGACACACACACACACCAGTATACAATGATGTAGATATGCACGATCATTGCAATTCCCCGTCCATCTTCCTGCCGTTTTTTTTTTAGACCTAAATGGTTAGCGGGAGGGGGAGGGTGAATGTTGAGTGTAATACATACACTCTCCCCCACTCTATGTGCCTCAGCAAGAAAAGGAAGCAACACAACAACACTTTTTCATAGCCTTTCCCCCTTGCCATGCTCGTGTATATATGTATTTATGGCTCACCAGTCATCCACAACACCAAAGCGATCCAGCAGCAGCTGCTGCTCCCTCACATCTTTCTGCACCTTCTTGCGCATGTAAAAGACAGGACAATCCCTGCTTGTGCATATGACCTCCTGGTTGAGTGATCCTTGGCATTGTTGGCACTGTGTCCACACTTGTGAATAGATGGCCTCATAGTGGTTCCGCTTCGCCACAATCCTACCGTATACCTCGGGTTCCTTGGGACGACATACGTCGCAGAGGGCACCTTCCTTTATTATTGTCCGACACGATATGCACTGAAGTTGAAACTTGACAAACTTCATCAGACCCCCTGCGTTTTTGCTGGGCGCCGTCACTGCAATGTGGCGCGTGTGCTCACCCTTGATAAGGACACTGGGGTCATCTAGGACACCTTCGAATACGCGGAGGAGTGGCGGCGCGAGTTGATGCTCGAGGTAGTACTGCGTGTCTATGGGGATGTTGTTATCTAGCACGTAGATGGGGTCTTCGCTGCGCTCGTACGCCTTGGCGCCTTTCGCGGCGCGAATGATGACGTATGCTACGCGATCGCCGACGTTCGGCGCGGAGGCGGGGTCGCGTTTGCGCATGCGCTCGACGAGCGCGACGTGCGCCTGCGCCCCCACGTACTCATCTTCCGCTTTGGAGAACGCCTTCGTGATGACGAGGTGTGAGATGTCGAGGCGATTCAGCAGGAGGTCGCGTATTGTACCCTTGACAAACTCCACCGCGCTCTCAACGGAGCGCTGGATGATGATGCGGTTCAGCACGCCAGATATGATGCTGGCGACGAGGGGACAGTTGTCGCGCCGCACGGTTTCGATGCCCTTCGCATCCAACTTATCGTACCGCTCCGTGTTGGTCCAAAGCAGCCCGGCATAACGTTTCTTGTTCATGAGAAGGTAGGGGAAGTATACCTTCTCAAACTCCAGCTTGATGGGCTTCAGAAAATGCTGCGACACCTGCTCGGCTGCCTCCTTGCCGAAATCCATTGCACACCGCAGCCGCTCTGTGTCGCTTTGTGTCTCATCCGTCACACACTTAATCATCACTGAGTCCGTGTCGCCGTACACCACCTTCACGCCCTTGTAGATGGACTCCACGATGGATTTGGTTTGGTCAATCATTTGACGCCCATACGCCGTGACAGAGGAGCTTACCTCGAGGCACGGCAGCTTCCCAACCTGCGCTCCAGTGAAGCCATAGACGGAGTTCGCACTCAACTTGAGTGCCAACTGACGCCCGTTCAGCACTTTATACTCGAGGGAACCCATTGGAACGTCTTTCATCAAAGACTTGGCGTGTTTTCGTGCAGCAAGGAGGCCCTGCAACACCTCTGGGAGAATGCCTGGGAAGAGTTCCTTCCTTACAAAGGTGTCGCCAGTTGGGGAGCGGGTCAACATCTCTGGCGGGTACTTCACCACCTCGGCCGGCCGCACCAGCGTCGAGTAGCACAGGTTATGGGCGATGATAATGGATGGGTACAGTGACGCGAAATCGAGTGTGGCGATGGGGCAGTTGTAGAAGCCCTTCACTGGTTCAATGACGGTGGCACCCTCGTAGCCCCGTTGGTCTCCTCCGTTTCCGGAGTATTCCACTACCGGCACGACGAGGTTGTGCGACTTAGCCTTGCGCAGCATCATGGAGAAGACTTTGATCTGCTGCCCACGCTCCAGAAGCCATCCAATAGGCACACCCGTCACACGTGCCATTTCCACATTGTTCACCATAACCATGAGACGTTCCAGCAGCTTAACAGGTAGGAGGGCGTCTTTCAGACAGTACACGGCCAGTCGGCGCCGCGTCTCCTCGCTGCCGTTCTGCAGATCTGCAATGATGGAGTGGTGGACGTCCTCCTTCTGCTCGCCAAGGAAGTTCTGGGAGACGGCATTGAGGGAGTATGAACGCAGCTTGAAATCCCGCTGGATAACGACCATCGCGTCCATAATAACGCGGCCCTCCAGCGTCAACTCCGTGTACTCGCGGTTCCCCATCTGCTTAGACTGAAACTTCTTCTCGCGTGGTACTGTACGCTCGTTAATCTGCCGTCCCCAGTAGTGAAACGCGTCGTTTATCTTCAGCGCCACCCCGCGGTTGAGGAGGTACGGGAAGTCGAAATTGCAAATGTTATATCCGGTAAGAATATCCGGGTCGATGGCCTTGACGAAGCGTACCCACGCCAGAAGCATCTCTGTCTCTGTCTCATACGAGCACACCTGCGCTCCGGCGATGGCACCGCAGCTCTTTAGCGTGAACACTGTCCGTGTGAGCGGCTCCGTCTCGTTTCCGTAGTTAATACAGTGGTTAGCAATTTGAATGACGGGGTCCTTCTCGGGCTCTGGGAAGAGGCCCTTTCTTCCCTGGCACTCAATATCTACGGAAAGAATGCGGAACGGGGCGATAGAGAGGTACTGCCCGACAGCTTCGTGGTTATGCACAGCCTCATGTGAACAGCACACCTCAATCTGGCAGGTCGAGGTGCGCACGGTGGCGGGGCAGAGCTCCTCCGCGGGCACAGTGATCCAGTTGCAGCCACCCAGGCCATGGTCGACGAGAAAGCGAAGCGGGAAAATGACGTTGCTCTCAAATGTAGAAAAGACTCGCACACCCTCCCATGCCCCTGCGCACGCCACACCGCGATCAGAGAGGAGACTGCGCAGCTTTGGGATATGCTGTGGAAGCTGTACGACGATCTTGAGGTGGTCACTGAGGCCGCCGCTCTGGTAGTGCATGATGCTCTGCCGCTTGTGCACCTCGATGCGCACCACCGTGCTCGTCGCGTGCGTCTGCGTGTCAAGCTGAGTGTTGAGCTCATTCATGAGAGTCTGCGTGTACACCGGCAGCCATCCCTGCGGCGCCTTGATCCAAAGGTACGGCTCGTAGTTGTAGCAGTGCACGAGCACGCTGTGCCCCTCCGCCGTGACGCCATAGAGCCGCACGATGGGGTTTTCGGCGTGCCGCACGCTGGAGACAGTGTTGTGCGCGCTGCCTTTCGTCTGGCAGCAGTCGAGCAGCTGAAAGAGCAGGTCGCGGCGCAGGTAGTCTGCCGGCGGCGGCGGCCGCGAGAGACTCGCCCACTGGCTCATCGCAGCGCAAGCGTGAATGAGGGGGCGTGAAAAGAAGCAGCAGCGACGCGCGTATGAAACAAATGCCCCGTGTGCGCAGCTTTGCTCTCTCGCTCTGTGGCTGCAGACGAGAAAGAGAACCAGAACAACAACAAAAAAAAGAAAAACGTGTAGCTTCCAAAGCATTCAGAAGGCGAAAAAAACCAGAAAACAACAACAACAACACGAAACATATCAAGGAAACGAACGGAGACACGGACAACAATGCCAGCTCCTCTTTGCCTCCATGACGTGGGTACACGTGGCACGGCCTCACCGACGGCGCGGCCCACACGTGCGGGCGTACAGAAGCCGCAGTGCCTCCTCCACCGCGCGTCTACTTTCGTCACACGGCGCAGCGCGCTGCAGTAGCGGCCACACGTTGTGGTCGCGCGCGACACGGTGCCTGTCAAGCAGCTTACTCTGCAACACACGCAACGCCAGTTGCCAGTTGCCAGCATGTGCGAGCCGCTGCACGAGGAGCTGCAGCGTGTTGCTGTCGAGCACACGTGTGCGGATGGCCTCCGCGACGGCGTGCTGCACCTTTGCGTCGCTGCCTTGACTCGCCTGCAGGCGTGCGCACAGCTGGGCTACCTCGCGCGCCGGTAGCCGCGTCATCCCTTCAGCACTCGGTCGCGGGGGTGGGAAGAAGAAGAAAGCAACAACAGTAAGCCACGACTCACACTCAGCCATGTGACGGATAACGACACATTTGCTTCCATCAACGAAGTGCTGGGCGCAATAGGGGGAGGCACTCAGTGATGGGAAAAAAGGCAGTCAGGCTGCTTGTATGTAAACAGCTAGGCGTGCACCCCACTGCCTGCTCTCTGCTGGCCCCCTCTGAACGTATGCAGAGAGGCCTGCGACGTCCCCCAGCAGCGCAACTCCACCTCTCCACCCTTCCGCGTGCCGCTAAGAGACTTTTTTATTTGGCACCATTCCACTCTCTCATCGCTTTGGGGGAACAGCGTCTGCAGCAACGGTTAAGGCGTTCTTCCAACACCACACAGGAAAGACAAGTGCATCAGAAGCAATTGGTGCGCATCCATCACACAAGAGTGAAGGCACCCGACCGGCCTTTATCAGAATAAATGCGGATACGCCGCTTTTTTTCATTCCAGGGGCCTTTTTAAAAGAAATTTCTTCCCTCAGCCACCCTTTTCAAGAGCACTAAGTTTCTCTCTATTACGGGTGTACAGCTCGAGGGGGAAATCAGGGGCTATATCGATCAGGTCTTCCGGGAACCAGTAGTCGAGGAACGTAAGAAAAAGCCAATCGGTAACGCAAAGCAGCCAACATATAACCCCGTACAGCAATCCCACTGACGCGTAGTTCATCAAACGCTCATAAAGTGATGGTGTTGCTGTGACAAGAATCCTGTCGTACACCCGCTCTGTGCGCTCCGCCACCCAGTCCCAGCTGTAGAACCGTCTCACGTTCTCGTGAAGTTCCCATGGAGAGAGGTACGGCACCCGCAAAATGGCTTCCTCCAGCGCCGCCGTGATGGACGCGGGGTCGGGGTCCGCCAGCAGCAGCATATTGGGCGGCAGCACCTCCGGCACACCGCCCACCCGTGTAGACACGCCCAGCATGCCACACGCCGCCGCCTCAATTAACGCAATGCAGAACGCCTCGGTCAGACTACAGTTTAAGAATATCTGTCCCTGCGTCAGCACACTCCGCACCTCAGAGTGCTTGAGAGATCCCAACAACTTAACGCGATCCATTAAGTTGTGGCGTTCGATCATTTGCTCAATCTGCGACTTGCGAGGGCCATCACCGCCAATAATCCACTTGATGTCTGGATGTCTCTTACATATTTCGGGTATCACGTCAACGAAAAGATCGGAACCCTTTCTGTAAACCAGACGAGCAATCACAACGATGGTCAAGCCATCTTTATCGACTTTCGACGCCCACGACTTGTACTTCATGTCCGCTGGCGGAGTGAAAGCCACAGTATCCGTCGCGTTTGGAATGACACTAACACGCTCTGGCTCTATCTTAGCTCGCAGCACGGTGTTCTCCCTCGATGTATTGCTGACACAGATCACCTGATCTACGTTCCGCAGGCTCCACTCCAGCACCTTATTGATATGAATCGATGCGGCATCCGCAAATCCAAACAAGGAGTGATCGGTAAAGCAGGTCCTTATGCCCAACGTACCGGCATGAAACAGCGCCTCGTGGCACAAGTTCGAAGTCGTTTGATGTCCGTGAACGACTGTTATGCGCTCGCGAATAAACACCGATCTTAACAACGGGAAACTCAGAAACCACGTTGCAAGCGTCACTGAACCAGGGGGAAGCTTTGCAGCCAAAATAGGCAAGTAATAGACCTTCATGCCATTGGTGAAAAAACGCACCCCACACTTGTCACCGTACGCCCTTGTAATCACAACAACCTTGTGGCCACGGCGCATCAGGCACTGTGCCACACTACAGATGTGAACCTCCACTCCCCCAAACCCAGGAAAGAAGAAGTCAGACACCAGCGCAACACGGTGCTTACCCATCGCGCCCCGCGCTCTCGCTACCCTCTACACACGAACAGAAACAAGGGGAGAAGGGCATGCTGCTGCCACAATCAGGCAGGCACCACACGACGCACAGCCTCCTCGCGAGCCCGAGCACCGGCGACAGCGAGAGCAACGAGAAGCCCCTGCGTGGCAGAAGGCCAGCGGAGTGCGGCGCACGGAGTGCCGCTTTCTCACGCAGTAACAACTCCCCACGCACACCCCACACCTCCTGCACCGACATGAGGCGCCACCAAGCTGTACAGCCAGAGAGACAAATATAATTCTGTACATGGATGAGGGGAGTTACACGCTTCCCCTTTGTAAAGAGAATCCCTCAAACAGAAAACATGCAAACGAACAAACACGCCTCTGTGGCATGCAGAGGCAAGGGGGGTGGTGGCGGGTGGCACAGGGCCCATTTTGTACATTTGGAAGACGTGCCGTGGGCAATGCGATGCGGCGCAAGCCGTATTGCCGTCCCACCGGAAAGGAACACAAATCATATTAACAAACAAGCGCACGTAGCGAAAGAACAGTGTATAGTTTGTGTGTATGCACACTCCTGATGTGGCAACCGCTGGAGCGTTCACTCGACACACACAGAGACACATAGGCACGCCCACTATAATAGGCATTTATAACACAACACAGACAGTGGCGACGCGGAGGGCGCCGCAAGCATACAGAAGAGGCAACAGCAGTCGCTGCGCCTCACTGGAAGGCCATCGGCCACACGCACACGCACACGCGCAGGGAAGGCCAAAGAGAGGAAGTCACAAGAGGACATTATGGAAGTTGGTATCCAACAGTGTATATCACAAGTCAGTCGCCGTCCACCCGCCTCCCCCCTCAGGTGCGGAGCAGAGGTGTGTGCGTGCGGGGGTGAGGCCCAGGCGCAGGAATACAGTGGCGCGGCAAAGACACGACAGGGGCACACGGCGGCTGGAGGGCATAGCATACATTTCGCACCTTGTTAACATGGAAATCTGTTTTGTGCGCAGCCACATCGAAAATCACACTGACGGCAGCCACCGCCGCAAGAAACACCATTCATCCTACATAAGTGGGAACAGCGCGCCACTCCTCACGAGCTGGCAAATGGCAGCGGTACTTGAACCTCAAGCGCCTCAGAGGGTCTGCCGGAGGATGTGTATGACCCAAGACGGATCCACGACTGCCTGTTCAAAGCATTATCGGCTGCCATCTGGAAGCTGACCGACCCCCCACCGGCGCGATTGGCCCCGTTCCCACCGATACTTCCGAGAAACGTGCCCACACCGACGTCCTGCTCGCCCCTCAGCAGCTCGGCTCTGCGCTCCGTCACACGAGTCAGTTTCACAGCAAGACGGCCAACCATCTCAAGGCAGGCGTCCTTCACGGAGCCCGACTTCTTCGAAGGCACCGCAACATTCCACCGCTCGCACATCGTTTGCAGGACCTTCCACCGTTGTGACTCCGGTAGAGGCATAAAGAAGTCTGTCAGCAACGCAGCAATGGGGCTCTGGTGGGCGCTCATGGCCCCACCTTTCGCGGAGGACTCCACCTCACTCTCTGCGCCATCTTCATCCATATCCAGGAACTCCTCTCGGTCAAGGCGCAGCGCGGCGAAGGTGCGGCCGGGCACAGCATTCAGCTGGAACATCTCCACTGGCTTCGGCACACCGCGCAGTGGCACGATACCAAACGCAGTCACGTTCAGCTGCTCACGCTCCGCCGTGCTCAGTGCCTTGTACGCTGCCCGCGTCAGCAGCACCTGCCCGCCGTTCGCAACACTCTCCGTGCGTGCGGCCATGTTCGACGTGCCGCCGTAGTAGTCGTAGCCCTTCGTCACCTCATCGTGACGGATGTCGGACAGCCCGGTGTGCACGCCGACACGCACACGCAGGCCGTTCCAGTACCCCCGGTACACAGCAGCGTCGAGGCGCGCAGTCGGCGGCACGTACTCCTCATCCTCCGCCGCACGGCCCTCCTCGAACTCGTGGTACGCGTCGTCGATCGCGCTCGTCCCCCAGTCGTGATGCAAAAACGTCTGCTGCATGTCCTGCACAAGCTGCACGGCGGCCCACGCACTCTTGCTCGCGATCATGAACGAGTCACCGACCGTCTTCACCTCGTAGCAGTGGTACTTCGTGATCAGAGAGCGGATCAGCCGGTGGTGCGTCGCCACAGCGTCAGGCATGATCTCGGGGCACGCAGCCCACAGAGCCGTGCTGCTCTCGATGTCAGTGAACACAAGCGTCACGGGGTCCTCGACGTTCTTCGGCGCATTGTTGTTGTCGCGGCTGTCTCTACAGCAGCACATCAGCACCACAGGCAGAGCGATGAGCAGCAGGCCTCCGACAACCGACCCAATGATAACACCGATGAGCTGCTGCCTCGTCAGTCCCCCCTCCTCCTGCCGGTACACCATGGAGGGCGTAATGCCCTCGGAGAGCGGTGGCACGGAGAAATCGAACGCACGGCTCAGCGTCCAAACAGCGATCGACGTGGCGCCGTAGTTCTTCGCGCACGACGAAGCGCTTGCGCCCCCGCCACTGCACGTGACGCTATTGGCGTCCGCGAAGGGGCCGTACACAATGTCACCCACTGTCACCATCACCCTCGAGTAAAAGTAATCTGAGATGGCAGACGAGTTGACATATTCCAACTGCCTTACCGCAGCCTGGATCACCTTTGAAGCGGCGAAATTTCTCAGGGAAAGAGGTGACCAGTCCGTGCTGTTGGGTAACGCCTCGTGGTACTGCGACACAAGAGTCGACGTCGCCTGCGGGTTGTCCCAGTGCGGCAAACTCGTCATGATCAGCAGCCGATCCGCAATCTCCCTCCCGGCGAAGAGCTGCTTAAAGTTAGGGTAGAAGAATGAAAATGGTGTCGACAGTACAACCAAGCGAACACCTTTGTTCTTTTCAAGGTGCGCTGCCATAACCCCCACTTCCCTTGACGCAAGGTTGATGACGAGCGTGAGGCCGCTTGCTGGCAGACGACCGTCGAGAGGGTCGGTCGCTCTGAGCGCCGTGGCGGAGCGCAGAGTGACGCCGAATGTTAGGAAGGAGCGCCTCACCACATCCAAGGTAGCTTCAGGCGCATTGCTGCGGACGATAACGTGGGCAGCGGGGTCACTTGTGTTCGCGAGGTACTGCGCAAGCACGAATATCTGCTGCTCCGTCGTCGGCGAGAGCAGAATGACATTCCGTCTGAATGAATTTAGTTGCGGCGTCAGAAAAACCGGGTCCAAGAAGAAAAGACCCGGCGCGTTCAACATTGCGTCAAGAACAATACCCACAGAAACATCTGTGGCAAACACCTCCATTCCGCCTATCAGCGAATCTGCCGCTTGAGCAGTCGTCGCCGCTACAACCTTCAGCGTGTAGGAGTGTTGTATGGCGCTAAGTCCGGGATTAACCGCAGCTATCTGCCCCCGCACGATCTCCCGGACCGCGTACGACGCCACGTCGCCAAGGTCCGTCAGGTTGTACGTGATGGCAAGGACAGGGTCGTACAATGTATAGTTTTCGTAGCACGTCGTGAGCGCTGTTGTGTACTGGCCTCCAGGCACAATAACGCCCCTATACCCCTCAACAAAGGTTTTGAGAAAAACAAGGTTCCCACCCTGATTGCACTCCGACATGGCTCCCTGCGCGGCAGCCTTTGCGTCAATGGTGCCACCAAAGTCGCCAAATACGAAGTCATCGATGACGTAGCGACGCTGGGCGAACAGTGACGCAATGAACCCGTCGCGGCCCTGGGAAGGCTCATAAAAGGCAAGCGCCTGCAGTAGCACCTCACCAGCCATCCATCCAGCAACCATAAACTCGCCATCGGTGTCGTCGTGGAGGTACTGCTGAGTGTCGTTGTAATCCTTCTGCCCGCTTTTCTCCAAGTAGTTAGACATCTCAGCCTGAAATCGCTCGATGCATTTGTAGTTGACATCGTTCGCCATCGGGTTCGTTCCCGTCGTGAACATCTGCCCGGCTCTAAAAGAAGCGCCACCTTCTTTCACGACATCTTGCCACACCTCCAGTAGGAGTTCCTGCAGCCGTGGTGGGCCCATCAGGTACGCACCGCTTGTGCGACTGTCCGTGAGCATCTTTCTGACAAACGCTTCGGTGGTCACCGTCAACACCCCAAAGATTATGACCGCCTGTGGCCGGGTCTCCGCAAACCGTTCCCATTCCGCCTGGAACTCGGCATCGCTCGCAGTCAAGGGCTTGCTGCTGTCCAGTTGAAACAGTGCACTGATGTTGCGGTGCGTGCCAGCCATCAATTGCTGTGCAAGAATGTACTCATTATCTCCGTAAAGCACACCCGTCAAGTACATAAAGCCCAAGCGCAACACGCGCAGGTGCGTCATTGCGTAACGGAGAAGGGTGTACACCGAGGACATAGTTTCCCCCGAAAAAAAGTAGAAGTGTCTCTCCCAGAAGCGCGTGGACAATCCATCGGTGAGTGGGGCAAAGGCCACTACGCTTCTTTGCTGAAGAGCCGGAAGGGCAGCCAACAACTGCGGCGACGACGTTGGTCCTAAGGCCGCGATAAGGTCACGGAAATCTGTGGAGGCTTGATTAACCGTTGCAGCGATGTTATTCACAGTGACGTCTCTGTGCACCACATTGATTCTGACTGCACCACTAGTGTAGTTGCGGGACCTTAGGGCGGCAAGAAAGCCGTGCCTGTACGCCATCACAGCACCATTGAACCGCGGACTCGTTGTAGACAGCACATCAAGGACTGTGACATTCGTCCCTTGTGCCACGGCAACGCTGACCTGCGTCAACAACACGAGCAGCAGGGCGACGCACAAAAGGGAGCTGCGATCCCCCCACGCTGTCTGCCGCGCACTGCGGTGCATGTAAGTGTACATGTATGTGTGTGTGTGTGTGTGTGTGTGTGTCTGTATGGCAAATCCTTGCGTCACCGCGGTCAACTAAAGGGTGGAAAGGAAAGAGACAAGATAGCATCTCCGCACCACGCACGGAGCACTGAAG